AGATGCCAGAATTGAAGTTGATGTGTACGAAGGGTCATCGATAAAGAGGAAAGTGGGAGTCCTCAAGAGGGACGCCAACTCCATTGCTCATTTGCTTACACACAGGTATCGAAACCCTTTCTGCGAATCATGCGTCAAGGCAAAGATGAAACACTTCAGATCACGAACGGGGGCCTTCATTCGGGGACCTGGTGACGTTCGACTTTGTGACGGCATCAGGAGATCATGAAGTGGAAGGCAGGTATGCGCTCATTATTTGGGACATATATACCGGAATTATCAGGATGATGGCCCGGAACTGATCAATGCCTGCGTGGAGCTGAAACTGAACCACGACCTGTCGCTACCTGGACGACCCACGTGCTACTGGGTGCAGGCCATCACCACGCTGTGCCATCTTATGAACATTGAAGAAGTAAATGGATCGAGCGCTTGGATGAGGCTGCATGGCGAGGAGTTCAAAGGCGAGAAGATACCTTTTGGTGCGCTAGTGGACTTCAAGCCGAGTGAAGCACGAGGGGAGAAGAGGGAGAAGTTCGAGCTAAGAGGGGAAACTGGTATATTTGCTGGACACGTGTTGAGCACCGGGATGCATTGGGCGAGCAAGTATCGGGCTTGGGCCCTCACTGCGTTTGCGGGTGCAGAGTTGAACATCAAGAAAGCAAAGGTTCCACCTCGATTGAGAATGCCGCATCAGACGGAGAGGATGATTCTCAAGTCACCTCTGACATTCCCAATCCATCAGAAGTTCAAGGCTGCCAACGAGACTCTGGAGGGGATTGAGATGTCTGTCGATGCAATGTCTGGATGCACGTGACCGCCTGGTCGAAGATGAGGACTACGAGCCCGAGTTATTGCAGAGTGACGAGAAGCGACTGCTCGACGATGAGGTCGATCAGATCGCTGGTCTGCTGCTTGACGATGGTCCGGAAGTACTTGTCGGAGGTCGGGAGCATCATGTAGAAGATGAGGATGATAGACCGAGCTCATCAAAAGGGAAAAGGGATGGACACGCCAAGGGCGACGACGAAGTTACGAAGCCCGACCTTCCATGTGTCAGCTGGACTACCTGGGGACGGCATAACGTACATCAACAATGATGGCAAGGAGGTTAAGATCGATAAGGCCGGACCATATCCTGTCGGGAAAGATGGCTTCAGGTTAATGAAGACGACGAGACCTCCAGAGTACACTCCCGATGAATGGGCAATGATGAGGAAATACTACACCGAGGAAGAAAAGGCCGAGGTGAAGGGTGGTGGCAAGAAGAAGAAAGACGGCCCCAAAAGTAAGGAATCTGAGGTTTCTGCGCCGGCTGAGGCACAGACATTGCAGATGCCCGATGGTAAGAGAATTCGAGCAATGCTTCGAAACCGCTGGGGTGGAGTTGAATGGCAGTACAATTGGGGATTGCGGAAGAACATATCAAAGATCAAGAACCCACTGGATGGGAAACACTTGGCTGAGCTTGATTGGGTCAGGATAGTTGTAAATCCTGTTGACGGAGTGGTTGTCCTCATGGATTCCAAGCAATCCCAAGACGTCTTGAGACGAAACGTTCAGCTAGAGAAAGAATTTGCGTGTCTGGTAGCAGCTTGAGGCTCAAACCTTTCCTTTCCTTCCAATCAATTTCAGGGCCTTAGATTTTCTCCCACCCGCCCACCCAGGTTGGAGGAGTGAGTGGCTACGCCTGCCGCACCAAGTGGCTTACCTTTCAGCCTGCCCTCACCCTCTGTGGCCTTCTTCAGGGGACCCCCTCTTTCCGGGTGTGAACCCTTTTCTCCTTTTGGGGGTCCCCTCTTTCTCCTTTCCTTTCCTTTGATGCTCTACCCCGTGTGCTGAAAAGGAGTGCTTGCGCTCAGGGTTCCTTTGTTAAGTGTTTTGAGAGACTCAAGCTGCTTAAGGGCACCAGGTATAACGACGAGGAAAACGGAGATGGCCGGAGGGCTTGTCAAAACTCTCTCTTGTAGAGGGGTTGCCCAACCCCTGCTATAATGCAGCCACAGAGGCTCTCGCGCTCGTCAGACCAGGAAACGCCCTCGTCGCAGCAGATTTTCGGCTTCCAAACCGCAGGCACAAGGCGCGTGGCGCCGCAGAAATCACGACTCAAGATGCGCAGGCAAAAGCGGCTGTAGTTACATTTTTGCAAGTCTCGCCCCCCTCTGAAAGGAACCCTTTTTTGGCTTTGGCTTCCTGGCTTTGGCTGGCCGGCTTTGGCTGGCTGGCTTTGGCTGGCTGGCTTTGGCTGGCTGGCTTTGGCTGGCTTAGGTTCCCTTTTTTGGTTCCTTTTTTGTTTTTGTTTTTTTTAATTTTTTTGGGAACCCTCGAAAGGCGAGGCTTGCAGAAGTGTAACTACAGCCGTTTTTGCAAGCGTCTTGAGTCGTGATTTCTGCGGCGCCACGCGCCTTGTGCCTGCGTTTTGGAAGCCGAAAATCTGCTGCGACAAGGGCGTTTCCTGGTCTGACGAGCGCGAGAGCCTCTGTGGCTGCATTATAGCAGGGGTTGGGCAACCCCTCTACAAGAGAGAGGACGTCCGGTCCGCCAACGCATGAACGACGCCACGCAGTCTTAGAATGTACGCTCTGGCAGCAGCACTTCCGGCAAGCAGCCGCGCCTCCTCCAGTCGGGCTTCCAAGTTCAGGCCCAGGGACATCCGAGTGAAAATGCGTGTCGTACATGAAGAAGCATGGAGGTAGTCACAGCCGGAGCACAGGATGAGCTGATGCAGAGCCTGGACAACAATCTGAAGACCAGCAACACCAACTACGTGACTGCGCGGCACGACGTGCAGTGTTTCCCCACTCGCTGAGCTCCTTCTCCGAGGGTTGGCCGCATCCCGCTGACCAGTGGTACCTCATTCATCGACCCCGAGTCGATCAAACTGACGCCACCAATGCGCTGGCGCCGGCCACTCCGAACCCCGCTTGTTTCATCCAGAGGATCCAGATCTTCGCCAAAGGCCAGCGCTGCGACGACATCAACTACTACGGTTGCACCGTGGCGTGCACGATCTGCTGAAGGGCCGCGAGTACAACAGGGCTTTGACGAGGTGGAGCACCAGTGGTGCACAGCAGACGGAAGAAGCATGACCGACTTATCAGAGTACCGCTCAGGCTCCCAACAAGCGTAAGGAAAACCGGAGCCGGGAGGCGACTGAGGGATCCACTGGCCCAAGTGGTAGCCAGCGTCGTTAATGGTAGCGAGGAAAGGATACCAGAGTGCCATCGAGAACAGATAGGAGTCAGAGAGGCCGCAATTTGGCAGGCATCAGCAGGGGTTCCCCTTTTGGCCGTTGCCGGTCGTCGGTCGGTCGAGCCCTTTTCTTCCTGTAAAGAGAAAGGTGCAGGAGGCGAAGAAGGAGGTGCAGGAGGCGGAGAGGAAGGTGCAGGCGGAGAGGAAGGTGCAGGAGGCGTCGCTTCCGCCGGCCGGCTGTGTTCTGAGCCGTTGGTCGCCAGAAATCCAAGATTGCTTGTGTGTAGATGTGCGGTTTGTTTCGGTGTTTGTTCTTTGCCATTACCTCCAGTGTGGTGCAAAGTGCTCTCGACCAAAACAAGGGAGTCTGATATATGCCAGGTCTATCCCCAGACTAAATTGGGGAATGGATGGGGTACAGATCACGAACATAGAATCACGTACCTGAATCAAAGACCAGGAAACATACGGTTCATGAAGATGAGGTTTGCACCTGTGAGCCCAAGTGTTCCCTCGCAACTGTACGAGCTAAGTGTTGAGCACTTAGAGCTGTGAACCTCATTGTGTAAACCCATGGTTGGGTGAAGGAAGGTAGTACGATTAACAAACCTGGGGGTCAGGACGAGGAAAGGTAGTAGGGTTACGAACTTGGGGTTCACATTTCCCGGTGAACCAGGCTTTTCAGCCAATCTGGTGAGCCAAGGATGGAAGCAGGGGGAAAAAGGGCCCGCGCCTACGCACAAGCCGAGACAAGCCGAGAAGCCGAAGCCGAGACCTAGCAAGGCAAGCCGAGAAGCCGAGAAGCCGAGAAGCCGAGATCTGTTTTGTCAACGCAGAAAGGAGCGGGGACAAGAACTCAGCAGACCGAAGCCTGGGAGCAGTTAAAAGTTGGAAGATGTGGGAGCAAGCTGAGCAAGCGAGAAAAAGAGACCCAGCAAGGCAAGCTGAGAAGCCGAGAAGCCGAGAAGCCGAGAAGCCGAGACATAGCGGGGCAAGCCGAGACTAGCTGAGAAGCCGAGAAGTCGAGAAGCCAAATAGCTTGGGGCAAGCCAAGGAGCGGGGGTTGAAAACGAGATCTCCCAGTAAGAGAGGGCAAGTCCCGCGCACGGAAGGCAAGTCCGGTTATGAGAGGCCACGGGAGTTGAAGACGAGAAGTCCGAGTAAGAGAGGGCAAGTCGAGCTTGGATCCCGGCGCTATGGTCTGCTTGTCCAGGCAGCAAGTGTGGCAAGTCCATGCTGGACATGCGAGACATGGGTGACATCGAGGTCGAGCTGTGAGTGATCACAGATAGTTCTTTGCCGCACGCAAGAGCATCACGAGCTTCCAGGTGTTTCTTGACGGGAACGTTATGGGGAGCGCGAAGCCAACGCAGCATCTCGCTCAGCAGTGGGAGAGCAGGTTCGTGGCCCTGGTCGCGGGCAGCGAAGGACTGTTCCTTCGGGACGTTAGGTCTTTCATCCGGAGCACGCCGCCAGGGCGCGCGAAGTCAATGCCACATTGTGTTTGGAAGCTGTGTGTTTTGACAAGCCCCGTCAATTGATCACAAAATTATTTTTGGGATCAGTGCTGAGGTGGGCACAACTTTTTTAGCGTCTGTTTCTATCATAGGCTATTCTGAAGCTGTAGCTCGGACAATTTTCCAGCCTATTTGGGCAAGGACCCCACCGCTTCGTGCATTTGTTCCGAATTGATACCCACATTGAAAGCGAAACAATCGCCTAAGGCAGCCGTGGGCAAACACACACAAACAGCCTTTCCCACAGTGTTCATTCTGGCATGATATTTCTCGATGGCTATACGCTGCTCACCTTGGCTCGAAGCTTGATCCCGCAACGCAACAAAGACTCGCATAGCTGCGCACAGCCTCTGATGGCCATGGCATTGATCTCTTTGTTTGCTTGTTTGGTGTCTGTGGCGGCCCTCCCCATTGAAGAGACAGACACCAACTTAATCTACTGCAACTTTCCGGTGGAGCCAGAGGTGCTGGCGAACTACCTCAACGGTGACAAACTCATGCCGGACTTGTACGAAGGCAAGGCCTGGGTGTGCTTCCTCAGTTGGCAACATTTGTTGGTGGATGGTTTTTTCATTGCGTGCGGTGCCCTTATCCATCTTTTTGACACGGAACTTTTGCAGCTCCTGCCAAGACAAGTAGATTAAGCCGTGTCACTTGATTCCCATTCAAACGGTTGGAATTGTCTGATAGCCCCAGCAATTTGTTTTTCTGGGTTGCATCATGCGCTCAGGTGTCCCTCATGGTTTTCAACCTGGAGAGCTTGAAGTTGCAGAGTCCCCTGGGCAAGATCCCGATGGGCGGGGGTGGCGAGATGGTAAAGCTCTCCACCTACGTGAGGACTCGCCCGTGTGGTTGGAAAAATCGGAAGGTTCCATTGGTTGCTGCCGAAAAGCCATCATTATCAGCATTATCTTGGAACACCCCCTACGTTATTCTGCGCGGAAGTAGCTGCTTGAATCATCACCCTGCTGAGGAATCGTCCCAAAGTAGGATGCTGGCTGCCAGCTGCAACAATCACTTGGAAGGCTGGCCACGACAAGTCATTGTCTTTGGCAGACTAGAGACTATGGTGCGTGCAATCTGCCATCTCACCATCCAACTGCCCGGCCACTATCAGTCTTGCGGCTTAATTTGAAGGGAAGCCTAAGTTGCTGAATCGCCTCAATAAATCTATCCCTGCATGTGCGATGAGCTGATATTGCAAGTGTTCCAGCCTTCAAGGCCCAGGGCGGCAAAGAAAAAAATCGGCCAAGCGCCCATGGGCGGACTTGAGCAAGGGTTGCAAATGTTGCTGGATGAAATCCAGAGCAAGTAGCGAGTAAGGCAATGCGACGATCGTTGGCGACAGTGCCAGCATCCAAGCATTGATGGGGTACTCGCAGGTCAGTGGGTGGTGCCTTTTGGGGTGTGTTGTGTTGTGATGGGGCTTCCACCTCGGTTACCCCCATGCGACCTGCACTGGGTCAGTGCCTCTACTCCCAACCCTGTTCAGAGCGCTCAGCTTGGCAAGAGCCTTGCGCCTCTTTTGCTGCGTCGGACTCCATTCTGCGATGCACCGAGCGGCTGGAGTCTTTAAATTAGTCCTGACTCGTGAGCCAGGCGCAGGACCGGGTTTGTACCAAAGCCAAGCAAGCCCGAAAAAAAAGAAAAACACAGAACCAACGCATGGCAGGCTGGCTCACAAAAGAGGCGGCTGTCTGGCCCTTGGATTTGCCATCCAGCATCTTACCAAAGAAGAGAGTTCGCCCTGATGTGTGGGATGGGCTCCCACGTGTAAACGGTGTCAACCATCTCCTTCTGCAGCCGTGGAGCCTGCTGCCAGCTGCAGCCAACGCGTGCAGTAATGCCCTATACAAGAAACACCTGTCATCTCTGCGGGCAGGGGAAAAAGCGCAAGCTGCACTTGCCACCTACCACCTTGACAGCTTGCTGAATTGCCACGATCCAGCTTGCGAAGGGCTTGCGCGAGCTTGAACTTTCTGGGCGGGCTTCCAGACTGTTAGCAACTGTCTCTTCCAGGAATTATTGAAAGGGAGGCAAGCTGCAAAACCAAAGTGTGTCAGCTTAACCTGCAGCTACTCTGCGAACAGCTGAGGAGTTCCTTGCTGCCAGCTGCAGCCGCTTGGCAGGCTGGCTCTCCACAAGAAACACTTTTACTCCCTGGCAGAACAAAATTGTTACACGGGGTTATCGGGAGATAGAATACATTTGCAAGATAGTACTGCCTGAGCCGCAGAAAGGTTCTGCGAAGGTAGGAGGGGTTCTGCCAAGGGGGCCGCGGTTCCACAAAATTCTAGGCTGGCCCTCCAAATGAAAAATCTACGTTTTTCCCCAACAGCTGAAAGCTAAGGGGTCTCAGCCCAGATAGGCTCGGGGTGGTCCGGGGCGGCCCTGAGGTGAGGTTCCACGAGGGTTCCACCAGGGTTCCACCAAGGTTCCGCCAGGGTTCCACCAAGGGCTGCGGGGTCCGGGGCGGGTTCCACCAGTGGTTCCACCAAGGTTCCACCAGGGTTCCACGAGGTTCTGCAAGGGCTGCGGGGTGGTCCGGGGCGGGTTCCACCAGAGTTCCACCAGGGTTCCACCAAGGTTTTACCAGGGTTTCACGAGGTTCTGCAAGGGCTGCGGGGGTGGTGCAGGGCGGGTTCCACCAGGGTTCCACCAGGGTTCCACCAGGGTTCCACCAAGGTTCCACCAATGTTTGAGTCCATTCCAGCACGGTTCCACGAGGTTCTGGAAGGGCTGCGGGGTGGTCCGGGGTGGTTTGAGGTAAGGTTGTATGAGGGTTTCAGGGTTCCACAAGATTCCTGCGAGGGCTGTGGGCCCTGACGTTTCACAGGGTTCCACAAAGCTCTGGATTCCACATGGGTTCTACAAGGCTCCACAATGCTCCACCAAGGGTGTGTCGTGCGTCGTCTGAAAAGCCATCGGATCAAGATCGCTTTGCTCATGGGCGGAACACTAAGCAAAACCGAAATCAATGGTTTTTAGCACACTTTCACTGCTTTGTGACTTGCTCACTTGCTCAGGCAAATGTTGGCTTTGTGGCAAATCAGATCACGTCGCTGCGGAACTCACGGTGCAGCAGAGTAAATGCTTGGCATTGCTGCTGGCTTTGGGTTCCAAGAATTCCACGAGGCTGCGAGGGCTATGAGGTCAGAAGGTTTCCACCAAATTCTGCAAAAGCTATGGGGCAGCCCTGAGGAAAGGTTCCAGCAAAGTTTCACGCTGAGCTCCACGAAAGTTGCGTGAAAACGGTTTGCGAGGTTCACCGAGCCCAGGTCGGGGCCCGATTGCACTGTCGGGGCCCGCCCCGATTGCACCGTTTGGGCCCGATCGGCCCCGATTGCGCCATCGCGCCCCGATCGGGGCCCGACTGAGTCGGGCCCCGATAATTTCAATTGTACCAAGCTGGCATCGCCTAGTCTTGCTCTAGATACAGTTGCAATCCGCTTACTAAGGAAAACCGGCGTTGAGCTATAATTAATATGGGTGGCTGGGGTTGCACCGCGGACGATCGGGCCCCGATCGGGCCCCGATTGCACCGTCGGGCCCCGATGTGCACTGCCGGGCCCCGATCGGCCCCCGATTGCGCCGTCGGGCCCCGATCGGGCCCCGATTGCGCCGTCGGGGCCCGACTCAGTCGGGCCCCGTCAATTGTACCAAGCTGGCATCGCCTAGTTTTGCTATAGATACAGTTCGGCGTTGAGCTATAATATGGGTGGCTGGGGTTGCACCACGGGCCCCGATCGGGCCCCGATTGCGCCGTCGCGCCCCGATCGGGCCCCGATTGCGCCGTCGGGGCCCGACTCAGTCGGGCCCCGTCAATTGTACCAAGCTGGCATCGCCTAGTTTTGCTATAGATACAGTTCGGCGTTGAGCTATAATATGGGTGGCTGGGGTTGCACCACGGGCCCCGATCGGGCCCCGATTGCGCCGTCGCGCCCCGATCGGGCCCCGATTGCGCCGTCGGGGCCCGACTCAGTCGGGCCCCGTCAATTGTACCAAGCTGGCATCGCCTAGTTTTGCTATAGATACAGTTCGCAAGCAACCCAACTTGCCACAGGCGCGAGTGAGCATGAACCTGGGCGGGCTTCCAGACTAGCAATGTCTCTTCCAGCAAATATTGAAAGGGAGGCAAGCTGAGAAACCAAAAGCCCTGCGCCTCTTAAAGCGTGTCAGCTGAACCTGCAGCTGCTCTGCGCATTGCCAAGCAGCGGTAGTCTTGCTGAGTTGCTTGCTGTCAGCTGCAGCCAATGGTAGGCTAGATCTCACCAAGAAACACCTGCCCACTTTTTGGGGAGACTCAGCCGGCCGTTGCCCGCGAAGCGAAGGGGGCGTGCGCGTGAGCCTTCAACTGGCAGGGTGGACATCCAAGCCTAAATCTCCCCAACTGCATCTGCCCAGGCCTTTTCCTTGTGATAAAGACAAGCACGACAGCAACCCCGTGCCTCTTGCCACAACGTTAATCACACCCACAGCCACTCTGCGAATTGCTGAGCAGCTTAAGTCTTGCTGAGTTACTTGCTGCCAGCTGCAGCCGACACCCAACCGTAAGGCACTCATTTCGCGCCAACTTAACATCTCGCGCGCAGCAACTATCCAAGTTGTACAGATCTGATTCGTGCTTCAGCTGACAGGATGGTTTTCCCAGTCTAAGTTGTTCCTGACCGTGTCTCTCAGGAATCCTTGCATTGCGAATGAAATAACACGGCAAAGCCCTGGCACCTCCTACACTGTGACCCCGAACCTACAGCCGCGCTGCGCAATGCCGAAGAATACCTGTAGTTTTGCTGGGGTACTTGCTGCAAGCTGCAACAAGCACTTGACAGGCTGGCCACGAACGGTGCGTGCGATCTGCCCGTGCGATCTGCCGTCTCAACATCCAACTGCCCAGCCATAGGGTGTGCCTGCGCCTTAATTTAACGGGTAGCCTAACCGTTGCTGAATCGCCTCAAGAAAATACCCTGCGTGTGAGATGAGCTGACATAGCTACGGCCCTGTGCATCTTTTGCTGTTTCAATGGGGTTGGATGCCATTATGCGATGCGCCGAGCGGTTTGGGTTGCTTGCTGCAAGCCAACTAAGACATGGCAGGCTGGCTTAGCAAAAACAAGGCCGTCTCCATCGGGTGTGCCATCCTGTTCGCCCTGAAGAGCAGAAGGGCTTCCAAGTGTGAGAAGGGATGAGAGTCTGCCTGGCAGTGCGGGGCACAAATGAATGTTACAGGGCTAAGGGCCGGGATGTTCTTGAAAGCTTCATGGCCATATATGAGCCAGGCTTGAAGCGAAACCGGTTTAGCATTCTGGGGTCGCAAAATGAGAGGCTCGACTTGGATGTGGACAACTCCAATGGGGAAAGACACAGTGTTGCCTAAAGCACAGGGCAACCTGTGAGCCTATGCCAAAGCATTTTTTGTGCCAGTGCCCCGTAGCATTACAGAGTTGCCCCCGACCATAAGTTTCTATACGAGATAGTAAGTGGATGATGCGATTTGAGACAAGCCACGAACTTGGTCCGAGCCAAACGCGCAAGACCTCGCTCTTGCCAGGACCAAGGACAGCGCTAGCAAGGCGGGCAAGGTTGGGAAACCGTTTGAAACAACTGGACCCTGGTATGCTAGACAGTTTAGGACATCTTTTTACTATGGCCTTGGGTCGACTCCTTTGCTACCAGGCTTTAACTATGACTCAGTTGGTGCTTGCACAGTGGTTTTCACGTGTGGCTATGAATTTCATGAGAGCTCCCCAACGATGGTGGGGATACGTCCCCATGATTTCCGCCAAAGGGTTTCTCAAAGCTTTCCTGCCAATGTCCCGCCCGGCGAAGGCGGGGTATTTGATGCTGGACTTGGACTTTCCACAAGGCGCTCGCGGGTGGATGCAGCGGGCAGGGTGCAGCTTCACCCAGAAGGGCCTCCACTGCGGTGAGGTCGAGGCCAGAGGTGTTTGTGGCTTTGACCTCAGCCGTCTGAAACAGAAGGGTTTCCCCTATGCGGATTCCGTTTGCTTCCGGGAAGGACTGTACGATAGCTCCAGATCGTCAATGAAGCGTCAATGACGCAGCTGTGCAGCCCCTTATTTTGGCCCAACATTTGAGGCGCAGCCATTTTAAGTGGGGACCCAGATTGTGCTTGGAGGCAAACAATCCCAAACTAATTCGCCAACAGCTTATGTCTTTGGAATTCAGTGGCCCCACGGTCTCCATTTCTGTCGCTGCTGATGTTAATTGGTATGGTACATAGAAAAACATACACCTGCAGATACACAGTTGCGTTAGCTTTCCCTCTTTGCCGGCCGTGAAGGTCCAGGTGTCCGCCAACCTGACCAGCGTGTTTGCTTCCAGCTCGGACGGAGCTTCCTTGTCGGCTGAGTTTGAGGTGTTGGAGGCAGGTTGCCACCGGACCAAAGGACGATTGGATCTGTTGGATATGATCGTTGGGGTCAAAAGCAGAACGCGTGCTTAAGCCCCTGGTTGCCATGGACCTCTTTAAAGCGAGACGTAAAGGAGCTTATGTTTGAACAGTTGTTTGTTTCCATGTGTGAACTGGCAACGGCTGCTGGGGTTGGAGGAAGAAGATGCCAAGTTCTTGGAATACATCATTTACAGGCCCTACAAGGCTGGGGGGGGGGGAGGAAGGGCAAGCACGGGGTTGGGGAAGCTGTTGTCCAACTTTTCAAAGAAATCGGTTGGACATCAAGAAATCCATTGGCGGTTTATGGGCGAGTTTGAGTGTGTGAAGTGGGGGCCATCTTTCAGCCGATTGAAAATTCGATGTCTGCAATGCTTGGGGGACTTTCCCCAGTTTTGGATGCTTTGGGCGTGGTGCAGAACGATTTTTGCGTCCAAAGGGAATCTTAGGCGCCCGTAAGTGGCTCTGATCCCAAATTCCACGGACTCTTAATGCAGCACCTCCAAACAAAGTTTTGTTGGACATGCTGCCAAAAAGGGTGCCAACATGAGCTTACATAGGGCTTCAAGGAGTTCCCACAAACCAGCACCGTTAACTTTAGCTGCAGCGGTTCAGTGTGTTGCCCGGTTGAACTTGTGGACTCGTGCAAGAGCATGGCAATCTTTCAATCGACGAAAAGCGCAAAGCGCACGCCAATGAGAAGGTTTGAGCCCACCGGGTGTGTGTGTGTGTGTGTGTGCGGAGTGACAGAATGCCCTGTCACCACTCTTTCGGTTTTCCAGCAGGGGCGTGTGGCACTCTCATCCTACCACACGCAATGAAGCTGTGGGTGAGAGTGGGAAGCAAGGCCTGATCAGCCTTGTGTACCTGCACCTTTTGAGTGATTCTGAAAGTCTTTTTGGCCCTCTTCTTTGCCGCTGTGTGTGCTTCATGTTGAACCCTGTAACGGTTTCGTCTCTAGAGGGAAATCACGTGACGGCAAGCCGAACTTTCTTTTACTCGAGACTCATCGGTTGTACTCGAGACTCATCAGTTGTACTCGAAAGATTAGCACTCTCCATCTGGAGTTCAAGTGTGTACACCCCATTCGTGGGGAATCCTCGGGTGTACCCATTGTGTGACCCCGGGCCGGCTCTGTCGGAAAATTTGACCTCAACGTTCTTATCATAGAACAGCGGAATTTCACATTTAACCAGGAACGAGGTTTCACTAAAGGGAAGACAGCCGTCAGATCATAGAGACGTCTCACTAGGTCTGCTGCTGGCTGCTGACTTGAACTTGCATGGACTTGCATTTTGTCGGACTCGTTCCTCTCAAGATTGTGGAGTTGCGGTTTTGCATTTGTTGTGCCATCATGTCTCGACGTGATGATCGTGACAGATCTAGGACTCGACGCAGACGTGATCGGAGTCTTTCCCCTCAAGCTCGCAAAGCACGCCGACGTGAACACAATGACAACCAGGCCTCGGAGGGCATGGATTGGAACAACCTGGTATCTTGGCAACACAATTCCGGCTACAACTCTGCCAACAATTTCCCGATGATGCCCACCAATTTTCAACCGACTCACAGCCCCACACAGCAATTCCAACACCCAGCGATCAACTACATGATGCCGATCCCTCCTGACCCCACGCCAACGAAGTTCATGCCACCCGTGATGCCACCACCGGTCACTACTCCCCAACCTACACCGCCACCTGGACCTCCTGCGGCTCTACCGGTTCGCCCTCAGAAAGCCTGGCTTACACCTTCGCCTGACTGGACACCTGGAGATGGCATGTTTGATGTCAATCAGCTCTACAACTTTAGCCTGCCCATGACCGTTGCCAACACTCCGCATGGCAACCTGCGCGACATGTCAGGCATGGATATTCGGGACGTTCGCCTGGTTCAGGTTATCCATGGGGGCCTCACCAACTGGCTACTCCGACCGTTCGCTCACGGCAGATTCGTGACGTGGGAAGGCTTTCGCACTCGCACCGAGGCCTTACTTTGGAGTACCTGTTCCAAACTACTACGACGATCACAGTCGCTCAACCTGCTCACCCTGGAAAAGGACCTTGCCAACTCGCTGGGTCTCAACATCGATGACTTCAATCAGCGGATCAAGGTTCACGACCATTTGGCCAGCTTGGTACTTCAATTTCTTCAGCAACATCACACCTCTCTCACACCTTCCACCCAGACAGATGACATGGTCAAGAAGTACAATGATCTCAATCGTGCGCATGAACTGCTCCAAGCTCAGTATTCCGCATCGCTGCGCGCTTCGACCTCTCCCACGATGGCAAGCCAAAAAGATGATGCAGAGTTGGTTACACCGCCACCGGTCAACCACACACCATCCTCGTCACCTGCCAGCTCCCTTCCTACAGCCAGTGCAGCGGCCCTTGATGGCAAGTCGTTTGAGAGCGCGGTGCAACCTCGGATCATCCAGTCTCTTCACGGAGTGTCGTCACCGCCGTCCAAGCCGGCGGCGTCACAATTGCTCACCATGCACAGCACACCGGATGAAGTTGTCAAGTACTACACATGGACCAGTGACCAGCCTCGCCTTTACCTCAAGCAATCGCCCACAACCACGACTTTGGCGTCACTGGTCAAGTGGGCCAATCACCCGTCCCGGCTCAACGGCAACAAGTCATTAGATTCCATGGCGACGCAGCTCCTTCAAGCGCGTCAACGCATGCCGAAAGGCGACGCACCCACTCTCGGGGCGATGGCGGCTTCGTGGGGACTGGAGCCCGGCTATCTTACCAAGCTCACTGAGAAGGCATTGAGTCACCTCATCGTGACCGCTCGCCTACTCAGCGGATGAGCAGGCATCTTAACGACCTTCGTTCTCTTATGAGCCCGGAGCGGCAACCATGTCACGGATGAGTCAAGGTTAAAACTCGTCCGTCATCTTTCTGCGTTGCACCAGTTTGATCTTGTGCTTGATCGTTCTTGCATTGCCTTGTGTGTGATTGTCTGTGCAGCTTGTATCCATGTCGCCGCCTTATGGTAGATTTCATTGGTTGCATTTTCACCATGTTGGATGAGCTTCGCCGCTGTGGAATCTATGATGATGTTGCACAATGGCAGTCTCTGGACAACTTTTTACACTCGTTGACCATGTTCTCTACGTGCTGGCAATACTGCTTCCCTGGACTACCACCACCGTCGATACCAACTGATGAGTACGAATCAATCACACAACTACCGTGGTTGGGCCTCATTCTCGAAGTCTTAGTTGTGGTCCGGATTGCCCTTCAGATTCCGAATCACGCTATGTCACACTCTCAGCACACCGTGGCCAACAGGTATGAGATTCATAGATGTCGGTGCACTGCCTACTTATTGATCAGTTTTTTACAGCGTCTCATTTCCCAAGATCATGGCTACTTTCCGCCGTTCTTTGAAGTCCTTCACTTCTACAAGGCTTCTCTCTTGTGTGAAATCATGCACTCCACTTTTGCCGACACGCGACATCTTCGCTCATTGCGGGCACGATTTCCTGACCTCTATGACTTCACACACGATCCAGGTCATCATCAACAACCGTGCGTCTACATCCGTCTTTCCCCATGGCACACACCCTACTACGTTGGGGCGACTGATCAGGATGTTCTACGTCGTGAACACTCACGCAGTCGCAAATTTCTACAACTACTTCGTGGACGTCATGCCTTCTTCGAACCCGCGCTTCACTACTGGAAGCGATCCAATACTTACTGGCTCTTCTGTGCTGTTCCGGTGGAGATCAAACTTCCTGTTTCCTCGGTTTGGGTTCAAGAAAGTAAATGGCAATACTTGCTACGCCCGCATTTGAATGCGCCCTGGGTACACAGACTTTTGAGAAAGGTGGGCTTCCGGGAACACCTTGTTGATTTTCGACGTCACTCGTTGTCGTCTCCCACTTCCCTCAGCTTGCACAAACGCTTTCGACGACGACTACATCCGGAACTCCAACGGCAACTACGACCCGACATGCTGGATGACATTCAGGCCCATTACTCTATTCTCTATCAGCTGGGATCCAATACAGGAGCATCGTTCCAAGCCATGCGTGACCAACTGTACTGCTTTCTGCGGCTCGCCGTCTTTGTCAACGAGCCCTTCCGCTCCAAGGCGCAGAAACTCCTCACCCAGGTGTTGCACAAACGACGGCTACAACCACCCACCACTTTGACACAACTACTCCTACCGCCGCTACATGTCCGGAATTGGAAAGCTCTACTTGGCACATGGCTACAAAGCTGGATTGCTTCTCATCGGGATTTGTTCCCTTCTCTTTTCCTTCCAAAGATCCGGGTGGTGGAAACTCGCAGTGCCACGTTGGGCGACAAGATCTACAACTACCGCACATGGCAGCGCAGATGGACTCCTGAAACATCCTTTCCGTGTCGCTGTTTGGACATCGATGATCACCATATACACCGAGCACATGGTCATGCTGTAATGGTTGATGAGTTTTCTCGCATCAATGCGGACATTGACATGGAAATCATGGCCGCATCAATGAAGGATCAGTATTTCGGTGATGTCGACTTATTACATCAACGTTTCACCACGCAACTTCGCAAACTTGCTCGTCGCTGGCATGTGCATGGTTCCAGTCTTCTTTCAGATCTGCAGCCGGTTTTGACTCAGTTAATGGACACTCATCGAGCTAACCTTCAAGATCGTGCTTATTGGTCATCGACATCGTTGCAGCGCACCGTGGCTTCTCTGTCATCGTGGGTTGTTATCCCTGCGGATCATTTTCCCCTCCCGCGCACATGTGATTTGTCCGTCCCTGTTTGCCATACTGATGCGGAAGACCTTTTGCTCGGGAGATGTCTTCTCGCTTTGCCGTGAATCCGCAGCATCTTTTCGCTCTGAAGTGGTAACCACGGTACCTTCTCTCCTACGTCAACGATATGCATGGGGACTTCGACTTCAAGCACCGTTGCCCACAGCACGTATCCTTCCAAAGCCGACCAAGGACTGGCAGAAAGCACGACCCATCATTTCATTCTTTCGCACGTGGGCAGCTCCTTTCCTCACGGTCTTCGGCGCACTCATATTTGAACTTACCAAAGCTACTTTTCCCGACATTGCAGGTCAACTTTCAGTACAAGAACTTGTCCAGCAGCTGTGGGAATCGCTGTCAAAGGCGGATCCCGATGACTACATCCACCTGGTGTCGCAAGACCTGTCAGGCTTCTTCACGTCCATTCCTA